AGCATGCGGTTGTGGGACTGACCAGAACCGTGGCGCTTGAGGCCGCCGAATACGGGGTTACAGTAAATGCCATCTGTCCGGGCTACGTCTGGACACCTCTGGTTGCAACGCAGGTCGCCGATCAGGCGCGGGTCCATAAGATGAGTGAGAGCGATGTGGTGCGCAACGTCATGCTCGCGCCCCAACCCACACGGCAATTCGTCCAGCCCGAGGAAATCGCCGAACTGGCGCTGTATCTGAGCGCCGATATTGCCCGCTCGATCACCGGCGCTGCAATTTCGATCGACGGGGGGTGGACGGCCAAATGAGCGAAGACGACATCATCCTCAAGGCCAACGGCATGACCAAGCAGTTCGCCGGCTTTTTTGCCGTCAAGGACGTCGATCTCAGCGTCCGGCGCGGCTCGATCCATGCCCTGATCGGGCCCAATGGCGCCGGCAAGACCACCTGCTTTAACCTGCTGACCAAGTTCCTCCAGCCCACCGCCGGAACCATAACCTTCGACGGAAGGGACATCACCACGATGCAGTCCTCCGACATCGCGCGGATGGGCATGGTGCGCTCGTTCCAGATTTCGGCGGTGTTTCCCAAACTCACGGTGCTCGAAAATGTTCGCGTGGCTCTCCAGCGCCGGCGCGGCGACAGCTTCGATTTCTGGCGCAGCCAGACAGTGCTCAATCAGTTCGACGAGGAAGCTCGCCACCGCGTCGATGAAGTCGGTTTGAGCGGCTTTGCCGATCAAACCGCCGACGAATTGTCCTATGGCCGCAAGCGGGCCCTCGAGATTGCAACGACCCTCGCTCTCGAACCGCAAATGCTGCTGCTCGACGAACCCATGGCCGGCATGGCCCAGCAGGACGTCGAGCGCATCTCGGCCCTCATCAAGCGCATTTCGGCCAATCGCACCACGCTGATGGTCGAGCATAACCTCTCGGTGGTTGCCGATCTGTCCGATACCATAACTGTCCTGGCGCGAGGGCAGGTTCTGGCCGAGGGCCCCTATGAGACCGTCTCGAAAGACCCACGGGTTATCGAAGCCTATATCGGAGTCGGCCATGAGTAGCGCCCAACCGCTCAGCGCATCCGCCCCGCTTCTGGCGGTGCGCGACCTCGAAGGCTGGTATGGCGAAAGCCATGTCCTGCACGGCATCGAATTCGACGTTGCCCCCGGAGAGGTCGTGACGCTTTTGGGCCGTAACGGCGCCGGCAAGACCACAACGCTCAAGGCGATCATGGGCATTCTGGGCAAGCGCAAGGGCTCGATCCGGTTCGAAGGCAAGGAGTTGATCGGCGCCCCTTCGCGCACCATCGCCAAGGCGGGCATCGCGCTCTGCCCCGAGGAGCGGGCTATCTTTTCGTCCCTCTCGGTCGATGAAAACCTGATGCTGCCCCCGGTCGTCAAACCCGGCGGCATGGCGCTCGATACGATCTTTGAGATGTTCCCCAACCTCAAGGAACGCCTCAACAGCCAGGGCACCAAGCTTTCTGGCGGCGAACAGCAGATGCTGGCCAT